GCGCATTTTATATATCATGCGCATTAATGCGCATTCATGCGCATTTTATTATAAAATGCGCATTTTTCCCACCTCTAGTTGAAGGAAAAACCAAAAAAGAGTTAATATCTGTAGCAAAAAATGTTTTTAAAGGGGTACTAAATGAAAAACTTATTGAAGAGGCCAAAAAATTGGATGGTCGCATTCATGAATTACGAAAAAAACACAAAGGGGTCTACCTAAGCTATGTTACAAGTTTTTGTAATAAAATTAGCGATTTTGTTTTGTTTAAAGAATATACTGACCTGGCAGAAGAACATAAAAATGATGCTCAAGAAATGCCATTTCAAGCAAGGTTAGAAGAAATGAGAAATATCGCAAGGATCAATCTTGCAATCCTCGATATATTAGATACCGATTCAGAGGAAATTTCCCGAGCGATCAAAACAATTAAGGAAGTTCAAGATTCAATAAAATACAATTATCAATTTGTTGGTATAGCTAAATCTCGCCTGGAGGTTTTGGAAGATCTCTTATGGGTTATCGGAGGTGTTGAATTGCCAGAGGAATTACCTGAGAACGAGTTCGAATTAATCACCTGCCCAATAAACCAGATTCAAGATGTGAATGATGAATACTTTCGATATCTTACCGAAAAACTACAACACGCATCTTCTGACAAAGAAAAGATAAACCTATATACACAACTTGCGGTTCATTATGAGAAAATGGCTGAAGAAGAAAAGTTCGATAAATTAAGCAGTTTATTTCATTGGCAAGCTGCTCAAAATAATTATAAGGAAGCTCTTGAAATAGATTCTCACAATCAAGATTTGTGTCTTAGTTATGCAAAATGCTTACTAAGATTGTCTAAATATACACAAGTAATTGATCTTTCTTTTATGCACACTAATTTAGTTTTAGACTCATTGCCAGAGTATTGGCGCCTTCTTAGTATTGCATACTTTAAAAAAGCTGATTACAAGCAAGCTAGTGAATGCATCAATGAGGCATTAAGTTTAGATTCTAAAAATATATTGGCTGGAAACCAAAAGAAATTTCTCGAAAAATTTATGTTGAAAAATAATTTTATTGATCGCTATGTAAACGAAAAAAAGTACATAACATTTGATGTAAAGAATTCATATAGTAATGAAATCCCTGTTTATAATATCCTTTCAATTGATGGTGGAGGTATACGTGGGATATTACCTGCTTTATGGCTCACTGAGATAGAATGTCGTACTCATAAACCTATCTCTTGTTTATTTAATATGATAGCTGGAACATCAACTGGTGGAATAATTGCAGCTGGATTATCCGCTCCGTGGTTTGACATTGATTATATACCGGCTGGTGAAATAACGGTGGAAATGCCGAAGTATGATTATTCACGGCCGAGGTTCTTAGCTTCGGATTTATTAAATATTTATAAGAATGAAGCAGAAAATTTATTCAGTAAAAAATGGAAATGGGGCTTTAATATGCAAATGATAAAAGAGAAGTATACGGCCCGCGGCGCTCTACACTTTTTAAAGAAAATTTTAAAGAAACAAGGCTTGACGATGTACTTACCGAACTGGTTATCCCTGCAGCAAACGAATCCAATTTAACAAAAACACATTTATTTACGCGTCATAATGCTCGTAAAAACCCAACAGAGAATGTCACATTGGCTGATGCTTTAATGGCAACAACAGCTGCACCCACCTTTTTTCCACCTCACAAGATAAAAAATAAGGGTATCTTTTTAGATGGAGGTATACACCTTAATAATCCAGCATCTGAAGCTTATAGTGAGGCCATTAAATATAAGGTGGATGAGAAAAAGATTTCTGTGCTTTCTCTGGGCACAGGAAGCTATATACCAGATCCTTTCAGTCCTGAGAAGTATCGGGGTCAACTATTTTGGGCACAGAATCTCCACAATACTATAATGTCCGCACAGGAAGGCAATACTGATCGCCAAATGTATGCTATGTTAGGAGATTGCTATCAGCGATGGCAAGTCTGGTTTGAAAAACCGATAAGATTAGATGATTTGAATTGCATTCCTTATCTCTTAGAAATGGGCTATCAATATATAGAAGAACTCGATTGCTCTGATAAAAATCCTATTAATAAATTAGTAGAGTCTTTTGATACATCACTCTATTAGCTTATTATTTCTATTGCAATAAAATAAATAGATAATTTTTATATATTTTATGTATTAAATTTTTTTGACATTTGTTATTGCCATTTAGCTTTTTCATACCTTTTTTTTTTGTGATTGAAATTAATTGTATATTCTATTTGTACACGGAATGTTTGTATACGAGTATATTTATTTCTCGAAATTTTGATTATAAAATCTACTTCGGAGATTCTAACAAGAAAGATTCCATGAAAATTTTAGTATAAATTATATAACCCTAAAGCTAACCTTACCTTAACACGTTAAACCAGGTTTACATAAAATATTTTATTATTACATTTCTTGCGTAATACATTTATTAGTAACGCATCCAAAGCAATCACTTGATCAACCAATCATCAGGTGTACCATGAAATCGAAAAAATGGCTAGTTTTTAAAATAATCTCTTGTAGTTCATGATTTTGTTTATGAAACCACCTTACGCGTTCTAATAAAAAAATTACTTGCAAAATTTTTGGTATAAAACAGGGTCACTGCTATTTATCTTAAGACCCTAAATTTGGTTTGATCTCACGGTACACTTGATCTCCTGGATTTTTACAACACATATGTGCAAAATGATAAAATTCTATTAATAATAGCGATTACCATGTAATTACATTATTACATTTTTACTAATTGGAAAGTCAAAAGTTATTATATATGTAAAAGGTCGATAGTCGCTAGTAAAGATCTTTTTTTGGATCATGATTGATAATAAATCATAAATCTCTTTTCATTTGATCAAATATCTTTCGCCCTACTGTATCTCTTGTTCCTTGCCATATTGTTTTCGATAATATTGAATATCTTAATGTTTACGACCAGAATCGAAATTGATATCGAAGTTGGAAAGTTTCTCCCTTGGTCGTAACTAAAGATGCTGGTGAAATTAAACCAGAGTAGTGAATTAATTTCACCACTATCGGTAAAATTTATGAAATTTGGTACGAACACCTGGTATATAATTATAAATTTTCTAAATCAAATTATAATACTTTCATTTATATTTTATTGAAATCGTGACAAGTATCAATACAATTTCTTTTTTATTTTTACTTTATATTATTTTTCTTTTTCTGATTTTTTTTATTTATTTTGGACACCATTAATTTTTAACTGTGACGCTATACTTGGCATAAAAACCATTGAAATTATTTCGGCATTGTTTTTTGGTATAAAGTTGCTGGAACAAATAAGCAATAGTTGCTACGGCGCATCTTTTAAATAAATGTAAATGTGGTTTTAAGTAGGTCGTCAAGACCTCAATTATTAATCAAGCCGATATTTAAAAATCGGTTTAATTGACTTAACCAACTAAATAATAAACTATCGAACTAGAAATTTTTATTTAAACATTTGTATTAATTAGCATAAAATTTTTATATTCAACCCAAAAAACACCTAAAAATAATAATCAACCCAAAATTGGAAGCTAATTTTAGGTTGAATAGTTAATTTTGCTTTTTGGTCGCGTATAGGCCGATTTTTTTGGCTAATTCAACATGAATTAGATTAAAAATTTGAAACACTTCTATTCCAGAATCCCAAATTCTTAAATACTTAATCAATTATTATTTAAAAATATATACTAATTTTTCTT